TTTGGACATGATTGTCATCCTACGGGCGGTTGATGCCAACATTACACATTGTGACATGGCTTCTCGCTTCAAGTTCAACCACCACCAACATGCCCACTTCGACACCACCATGCCCTGTCACACAACCCCACCACTGCAATGGATGACGCCCAACAAACGAGTACAACCGCCCAACAACTCGACACCCACACGCAAACAACCAACGAACGACCACGACCGCCCAACAACGATGGCAACCACAAGCAACACCGACGCCAGGTGACGAACGACGACCAGCGCCCACGAAAAACCACGACCGGCACACGCCACGGCCCCAGGGCCACGAACGACCCACGCGCGAGCCAGGCCACGTCGCAGTTAGCGACGTGGCAACTATGTGACACATATGGACGACAACGATGATTATGTTGTCGTCGTCATCGATGTAAACCACAGTAAGTCCCTCCCCCTCTGTCACATAACTAACAGAGCACCAGCCTGCTAGATGCCACCCCTCCGCAAAGGGAGGGGTATGCCGCTCGTCAGCGTCCACGTCACGACGCGAGGCGGGACAGATGCCAACCAAAAGGTGGCCACCGGAGGGTGTACAAAGGACGGACGACAACGATGGCGTATGGACGACAACGACAACGACGAGGGCGTACGGACAACGACAACGACGAGGGCGTATGGACGACGACAACGACGAGGGCGTACGGACGACAATGACGACGTACAGACGACAACAACGACAACGTACGGACGACAACGACGAAGACGACGTACGGACGATGACGAAGACGACGTACGGACGATGACGAAGACGACGTACGGACGATGACGAAGACGACGTACGGACGATGACGAAGACGACGTACGGAGGACGACGAAGACGGCGACAGCGAGCAGACGGACGAGGGCGTGCACAGGACGTACGGCAACGACGAAAACATGATATACCCCACCCTCACCCCCTCTCCCTCACTGCCCACCATTCTCCACCTCACTGCCCACCATTCTCCACCTCACTGCCCACCATTCTCCACCTCACTGCCCACCACCCTCCACCTCACTGCCCACCACCCTCCACCTCACTGCCCACCACCCTCCCCCCTCCCGCATTACCTACCACCCCCTTCCCCACTCCCTCATTGCCTACCACCCACCCCCTTTTTTCCCTCCCTTCCTCCCTCCTTGCCTACCATCCCCTCTCTCAT